TTGTAACCACAATCGAAAAATTTGCGATAGACAAAAAATAATATGTGAGCAATTAAAATTAACTACTAAGTAAATCATTTAACCACAAAAGGAGATTGTAAGAGAGTGAGAAAGAAAGAAATTATATTAAAATTAGAAAATAAGTTATAAAACAACTATATTAAGAACTTTCTTTAGGGGTGGGGGTATAGTTCAGTTGTAGAATTCTTGCCTAGCATATCAGAGGCTCTGGGTTCAACCCCCAGCACTATCAAAATAATAATAATAAATAATAATAATAATAAACCTTTACCTACTGATAATTATTTTAAGTGTAAATGGATTAAAATTTCTAAATAAAGTCACAGCAAATGGATAAATTTTTAAAAACTATATGTTGCCTATAAGAAACTTACTTCACCTCTAAGGACATGCATGGACTAAAAGTAAAGGGATAGAATAAGATATTTCAGGCAAATGGAATCCGAAAGCCAGAAGAAGTAGCCATAGTTACATCAGATAAAATAGATTTTAAATCAAAAGCACTAAAAAGACAAAGAAGGTCACTGTATAAGGGGTTAATTTAGCAACAAAAAAAATTCTAAACATATACACCCAATATTGGAGAATCCAAATATATTATGCAACTTTTATTAGATCTAAAGGGAGAAAGAGACTCTAACACAGTAACAATAGGGGAGATTAATTAATTACCCTTTCATCAATAGACAGATCATCTGGACAGAAAATCAATAAAGAATGGCAGAGTTAAATTGCACCCTAGACCACATGGACCTAGCAGACATCTACAGAAAATTCCATCCATACCTCCAGAAAACCTAGCCTTCTCATAGCACGTGGAGCATTCTCCATGATAGATCACACAATAGGTCACAAGTCTTAACAAATTAAAAAAAATGATTTTATATTAAGTATCTTTATGCAACAGTACAATACAACTAAAAATTGATTAAAAGAAAAAAATGCAAATCATACAAATAGGAAATGAGACAACTTACTCTTGAACAACCAATGGATCAAGGAATAAATCAAGAAGGAAACTGAAGATTTCTTCAGACAAATGAAAATGGATACACAACAAAACAAAATCTATGGGATATAGCAAAAGCTTACAGCAACAAATATTTCCATCAAAGACGCAGGAAGATCTAAAACAAACAATCTATTGCTGTATTTATTCTATTGCTGTATTCAATCTATTGAAAAGAAATCTGGAATTAGTAGAAGGCAGTAATAAAGCTCAGAGCAGAAATAAATAAAGATTACAAAATATAAAATATCAATGTATCAAAGAGCTGGTTCTTAGATGAGCTACACAAAATTGACAAACCCTTAGCTGTACCAAAAAAAAGAGAGAAAGACACAGCAAAATGAGACTCAACAATTCACACCAAGAAACAAACAGGATCATTAAAGGTTATGAACAAATATACACAAATAAATTTGATAACCTGGAAAAATGGAGAATTTCCTAGACACATATACCCTACCAAGATTGAATCATAAAGAAATTTAAAACCTGAAAAGACCTTAACAAGTAATTAGATTTAATCAGTGAGAAAAAGTTTCCCACCACAGAAAAGCCCAGGATCAGAGGACTTCACTACTTAGGTATACCAAACATTTAAAGAATGAGTATCAATTTCTCTTAAATTATTCCAAAAAGTCAAAGAAGAGGGAATTCTTCCAAACATATTCTATGAGGCCAGCATTATTCCAATACCAAAACCAGACAAGAAATAACAAATGAAGAAAACTACAAGCCAATTTCTTTGATGAACATAAATGGAAAAATCCCCAAAATACAAGTAAACTGAATTCAACAGCACATTAAAAAGAATATTCTTCTATACCATCAACTGGGATCTACCCTAGGGATGCAAGGATGGTTCAATTTATGCAAATTCAAAAGTATGGTACATCATCTCCACAGAATGAAAGACAAAAAGTTAAGATCATCCCAATACAGGCAGAAGAGAAATTTAATAAAATTCAACATCCCTTCATGCTAAAAATGCAGAACAACTTAGGTATAGAAGGAATGTATCTAAACATCATAAAGGCAGTTTATAATAAATCAACAATTAACATTATAATGACTGAAGAAAAGCTAAAAGTCTTTTTTAAAAATCTGGGGAAAAGACAAGGTGCCCATTTTCACCACTTTCACTAAACATAGTCTGGGAGTCCTATTCAGAGAAATTAGGCAAAAGAAAGAAGTGGAGGGTATATAAATGGTAAAAGAGGGAGCTGAACTATCACTGTATGTAGATGACATTATATAACACAAAGACTCCATAAAAATTATTAGAATTAATAAACAAAGATGGCAATGTAGCAGGATTTAAAATCAACACATAAAAATCACTACTAGTGAATTATTTGAAACAGAAATCAAGAAGGCAATTACCATTCATAATAGATATAAAAATAAAATACCTAAGAATACATTTAACCACTCAGGTGACAGACATCTACAATGAAAACTATAAAACAGTGATGAAAAGAACTGGAGAGAACATTAAAAAGTGGAAATACACCATCAGTTCATGGATTAGAAGAATCAATATTGTTACCATGTCCACACTACTATCCAAAGCAATCTACAGATGTAATGCAACCCTTACCAAAATAACTGACGTTTTTCACAGAACTAGATACAAAATACTAAAATTTGCATGAAACCTTTAAAAAAGCACAGATAGCCAAAGACATCATGAACAAAAAGAATGAAGCAGGAAGCACCACACTACAAGGCTTTAGTAATCAAAACAGGATGGCACTGGCATAAAATCAAGAACACAGACCAAGGGAATGAATAGAGAGCCCAGAAGTAAATGCACACCTCTATGACCAAATAACCTTAAAAGAAAAACCAAAGTGTTCTAAGAATACACTTTAGTGAAATTATAGTCTTTTCATTAAAGGATGCTGAGAGAATCCAACTAGACCCCCACTTCTCACCCATTTCAAATATAAAGTAAAAATGGATTAAAGACTAAAATGTAAGACCTGGAAATAGGAAACTACTAACAAGTGTAAAGGAAACACTTCAGGATGTTGGAATGGGCAAGCTTTTTTTTTTTTAACAGGATCCCAAAAGCACTAAAAGAAAAAGTGAAGATAGTCAGGGATTCCACTGAACTTAAAAGCTTCTGCACAGCAAAGGAAACAGCATGGTAAAGAGACAGATGATAGAATGGGAGAAAGTGTGTGCAGACCATACATCTGACATGAGGGGTTCATATCCAGAATATGTAAGAAATAAGAACACTCAATAGAAAGAAGAGAAATACCTCAATTAAAAAACAGGCATTAAACCTAATTAGACATTTCTAAAAAGAAGACACACTAATGATCATAAAAAATTTTTCAACATCATTAATTATCAGGGAAATGTAAAACAAAGCCACAATAAAATGGCATTTCACCCCAGTAAAAATGGCCATTATAAAAAAAAAAAGACAAAAAATGCTAGTAAGGATGTGGATAAAACCCTAGGACACTGTGGTCAACAGGAATAGCCACTGTATGATTTAGATATGAGGTGTTCCCCAAAAGTTCATGTGTGACAAAACAGAAGAACCAAAAGGTGAGATCATTAGATTTCCAGAGTTGTAATTTAATCCACGGATTAATCCACTACTATGGATTAACTGGATGGTAACTGTAGGAAGACAGGCTATGGTAGGAGATGATAGGACACTGGGGACGTACATTTGGAATTCATATTTTGTCTCTGGTGAGTGGAGCTGTCTCTCTGTCTCTTAGTGCCATATCCTAAATTGCTTTCCCCCACCACACCCACCCTTCCACCATGATGTTCTTCCTCACCTTGGACCCAGAGGAATGGTGTTAGCTGTCTATGAAATGAGACCTCTGAAACCAAGAGCACCAAATAAACTTTTCCTGCTCTAAAATTGTTCTTGCAGGTCTTTTGGTCTCAACGACGGAAAAGCTGAATAAAACAACCGCTGTGGAAAACAACATGGAAGCTCCTCAACAAATTAAAAACTACCATGGGACCCAGCAATTCTACTTGCGAGTATTTATCCAAAGAAATATAATCAGTATCGGCCTCAGCAGGAAAATTCACTGCAAAACTATTCAAAATAGCAAAGGGACGGAAACAAGCTAAGTCCACCAACTGATGAATGGATAAAGAAAATACTTAAGTATATACCATGCAATACTCTCCAGACATGGAGATCTTGTCATTTGCAGCACTTAAACAGGTGATGTTTTCTAGAGCTGGAGATTATTATAGTATGTGAAAGAAGCCAGGCATGGAAAGACGAGGACCACATGATCTCACTTGTATGTGGAATCAAAGCCAGGTTATCTCATAATGTGAGAGTAGAACTCTGATAGTAAGAGGAGAAGGAAGGGATGGGAAGGGATGGATGGAGAAAGAGGGATCACTGGGAACTAAGTCACAGTTAGGAGCAAGAAATTCTGACATGCTACTGCACAGCAGAGTGAACGAAGATATCCATGAGGTACTGTATGTTTCAAAACTTTAGAAGGGATTTAATATTTTCACCATAAAAAAATGATAACTGTTTGAAGGGATATGTATGTATAACCTGATTTAAACATTATACAATGAATACATGTATCTAAACACCACCTGACTAATATGTACAATTTTGAATTTTTATGTTAGTTTTAAAAAAATAACCATTAACTATAAGTGTGAATAAATATTTTTATTTTTAAAATGAATTTAACTGTCTCCATTCTTCATTTCACTGATATGCCTGTATCCTCACCTTGAGGGACAGGTATAGTGTATGTGATGAGTGAAGAGACTTTAGAAAGGTGGAGTAGGCAGCCATGAGGACAATAGCATAGTCTCTTCTAAGCCCTGGGGCTACAATTCACAGGACAGACACATTCACTTTATGGGGTTGGGAAGATCAGAAACGAAGACAGAAAACAGTCACATGGAAAACAAGAGGAAAGAAGGGAGAGAACCAGATTCTCTTTCAAGGACCTACCGTTCCATCCCCACCGCAGGCCAGAATTCTCAGATTAGGTACCTTCCTGTAGAGCTCAAGCCTGAAGAGCAAACAGAAGAAAAAGTAAACAAAAGAACAAGTACTGTGGGTAGCAAAGAGAAAACACAGGACATGATCGGGGAGGTGGCATCCCCTGGGAAAAATGTGCCATCCTGAGGATGACAATACCCTTAAAACCGGTCCAAGTAACCACAGGAGAACTCGTCCAGCAATTGGACCACAGGTAGAAGCCAACAGTATTTTAAATGGCCAATACTGAATGGGATTTGGGCGTGTCCCTGGGTTCTTATTTCTCATGCTTCCCTTTATTATATCAACTCGTATTTATTTTTTTCTCTTTAGTTCTTGACTTTTTCTCTTTTTCTTTTCCTATCATTCACTCTTCTCCTTTCTTAAAGAAAACCACCATTAATTGATAAACAATACCCCTTATATGTCTTATTATTATTATATTAGCTTTTCCTAGAATTACTTAGTTTTAAATCTGTATTCCCACTCTTAATTCTAGAACTTTTTTTTTAGAGAAATGGAGATTTTCTCCACTATTGTTATAACCAAACCTACAAGTCTATCACTCAATGGACTCACTCACAGCCCTACTTACACTCCCAGCCCAAGAGGGGAAGATTTATTGATTTTCCTGTACTGTTGACTTTGCCTGCTGAGGACAGATTGTGTTCTCCTACCAGATGGCTCTCAAGAAGATGTAGAGATGCTGCCCCTGGTGATCATCTGCTACTTAATGAAGCTATTACTGGGTCTGCTCTAGAAAACATCACCTGTTGAAGTAAAAGGATGTTTTCTTTTTCTGAAAATATTTCCTGTCCTTTCTTACTTTCTATGGTGACCTATAAAGAATCTACCTGAGGTCTCACTAAAGTGATAAAATCTTATTAAGTGTCAACAGATAAAAATCACAAGCCAGCATAGTAGATTCGCCTTAGCACAATCAAATACAGAAAAAAATACAAAAGGCTTAGAGCAAACTCTAGTGGCAAAGAAAGGCAAAGATTTGGGGAATGACAAATTTAAGTTTCATAATTCATGTTCTTCTGCATGTTTAAAATATATAATATATCCGTTCATGCAGGAATAGTATTTCTGTAGAAATCATCTGAGTTGACATCTCTTTGCTTCTGATATTGCTACTTATTTAAAAAACTCCTATCCTTTATGTTTTAATGTTTAATCAGATAACATCAGAACTCTCTTAGTAGGTGGCTTTAAAACAGGAAGTACAAAACAGCAAAAGTGATCCGGCTCTTTTCCACCATGCACATCATGTTGACCTAATTTTCAACATTCTAGCAAAAACAGAGAATGAGATTTTTTAGAAACTCGAAAAATGGATTGAGTAGGAATTTAAGTGTTTTTCCCATGTTGGTGTAGAGCCCACAGTTAAAATCATCAATCAATCAATCTCTCAAACACACACATATGCACACATGCAAGCCCTCCAAACCAAATATTCACAAATAAATATGGCTGTGCTCCCCAGAGGTCAACCCACACTGCAAGTAAGTGTGCATCTCTAAAGTTGTACATGCATAAACAGAAAAATAAGGGGTCCTTTCTCAGTTCACAACTTGCTATGAATAATCTACAGTAGCACACAACACACATGAGCAGCAAATACATTGAAAGTAATCAATGAGTCAGCCATTGAGAAGTATGTTTATTTATTTATTTATTAGTTCTAATCAGTTATACATGACAGTAGAAAGCTCTTCAATTCATTGACGCAAATGGAGCAGAATTTTTCACTTCTCTGGTTGTGCATGAAGTAGAGTCACACCATTTGGGCAATCATACATGTACTTAGGGTAATAATGTTCATCCCATTCCACAGTCTTTCCTACCCCTTTCCCCCCTTCCTCATCTCCCCTTTTGCCCATCCAAAGTTCCTCCACTCAGCCCATACCCTCCCCATATGGATTAGCATCCACTTATCAGAGAAAACATTTGGCCTCTGTTTTTTTGAGATTGGCTTATTTTGCTTTGCATGATATTCTCCAACTCCATCCATTTTATGTTTTGAAAGAAAGTAACACAACAAAGAATAAAAGAGACCATCAGATAACATTTCAAAGGTAAGAAAGTACAGGTGGGAGAGTAGAGAAGAGATGGTCAAAAAATGTTTCACAAGGTAATCAGGTAAGGAGCTTGACCCTCAAATCAGAAAGTTCTATCTTGCCTACAATACATTTGGATCCTGGAGGATATTCCAGACTTACGCATCTTTTGGCCCTTCCTGCGAAAGGTCAAAAACTTGCCGTGGATTCAGATACCACATGAACATCTGTAGGACTTTGGTTCCCTGTAGAAATAGAGAGAAAAAAATGAAAATAATAAAAATTTCCCAATATTAAAAAAATAAAAAAGCAGAAATTTTCTAAAACAATATTTACTTATAAAAATGTAGAAAAGTTGTTAAAATAATGAGATTTGTTCACAGATAAACAAAGGTTGAACAGCAAAGTGAGATGCTAGTCTAATGTGCAATTCTGGGCAAGTTTCTTAATTTCATTAACTTCCGTCTCCCTTCTCTTTAATATAGAGATAAGATGCCTAGTTCACAAACTGGTTGCCAGTGTTAAATGCAATGGTCCAGGAGCACATCATAGTGCCTGGTGTGTGATAGGCACTTAATGAATGGTATTAATAACTTTATTAACATTGCCTAATGTGTGGAAATGCATACAGGAAAGATAACAATCAGCATCTGCAATGTAACCTAATTTTTACTTTTTGCACAGATTATTATTGTCTGCATAATATAGAAATTGGGTAGTATTGGCAAAGCATGATTTCATTTTTTTTCTAACAGTTACTGGGAATATATACAAGTCATATATATATACAAGTCTTATATAAAACTGTACCAAGTTAGTAAGACTATAGTTTACTTTGAGACTTTTCCAATCTCCATGTCTATGTCAATTTAAACCAAACCTTTCTCTGTCACATGAAAGTTTTTGGAGTGTGTTAAATAACTATGACATGTATCAAGATGATCAGGGGTTTGGGGTTGTGCTTCAGTGGTAGAGCTTTCAACTAACATGTGCAAGGCACAGGGTTTGATCCTCAGCACCACATAAAAATATTGTGTCTGACTACAACTTAAAAATATATATATTTAAAAACAAGATGATCAGGAAGAAAGGCAAAAGGCAGTTTGGAAATAATCTCTTACAGGGAACTGTGCAAAAAGAAATAAATGATCTTTTCATTACTCAATACCAAAAGAGCTTTAAAATTAAGTGGGATGCCTCACTTTATGAACCTCAGAGCAAATAATATTTGATCAGTTAAGCAGAGTTGGTCGGTTGTAATTCTGTTCTGTTAGTGAATATCATGCTTGCTCTTTCCTAAAATATTCCTAAATTTGTATCATATCTACTGTATTTAAGAGTCATCCTCCTGTGGTAGAAAAAGCATGACATTTGAGTCAGAACTAACTTGGATGTTCTAACTGCGTGATCATGAACACTTACAATCTTGCAGAAATGCCGTGTATAAACCAGAAGGGACGTCTACCTTCCAGGGTGATTATGTGAATTAAGTGAAACGGGAGCAGTTATGTATCAAGCATGGTATGTGGCACAAAATAGACCTTGATAAATGTGAGTGCCTTTCTTTTTTGCTCTTTGTTAATCTATGCATTAAATTGCACTTGATGGTGTGAGGGTTAAAGCGTAGTTTGTAATTATCACATTGTTATGCCAGTTGCTACAGAGGCCAATGCAGGTCTTTTGTTCCAAGTATCATCCAAACCTGCAATTTAAAAGTTCTGCTTTATCATGTGCCTGCTATAATTTTAGGAATAACATTCTACTCATAATTATTACCAGTCCTTCAGTTTCACCACAGGACATATTTTGCTCTCTGTCAAATACAAACAGATTTAGAGACATAATGCTAACAAAATTGGATCATTTTCTTTCTCCCCATGCTAGGCCTTGCTCCCAAGTGTGTTTGGGATTATTTCAATAATCTTTTATGTTTAATAAGTAACATAAGAGTCATTTTAATGACCAACCAATTTATAGAACATTTCCAACCACCTTGCTAGAAAATTAATTTTTCAGTTTTGGATTCCCTGAGCAGTGTGAATTGTTGGTGTTAATTACTCCTTCCTACCTTTGCTGTGCTAGAGTGCACATCTCAATCTCAGCTTCGCCTACTATGCATATGATACAAGGTGATTAACACCTTTCAGAAATGTAAAAATAAAAACATGGAGAGATTGTTTTTCCTTAACCTAAAATTTCTCTAAAAGATGTGAACAGCAGCACTGTTTTGGTTTTGCTAATTTTCAATTTGTGTTAGTGGGAACCTAATTATCTCAAATTATTCTTTCCAGGGAAGGGTATTAATGAAGGCTGGTGAGTTGCTCACTGCATGTCCTGGGGAGGTGCCATTTGTGAAGCCATCTATTGGGATGATGCTGCTTCCTGGGAATTGTGCAGGAATGACCAAGCATGGCTACCCTATCAGAGCTGACATTCAGCATGATATAATTACTTTTTTAAGAATAGAAGTTCAGTGGGTTAGACAAAGGGGAATGAAGAGAAGGAAGGGAGGATAGAAAAAGGAAAGACAGTGAAATGTGACATAACTTTCCTATGTATATATATGAATACACCACAGTGAATCTCACCATTGTGTACATCCAAAAGACTGGGATCCTAATTAGAATAAGATATATACCAAGCTTGTATAAATATATCAAAATAGATTCTACTGTCATGTATAACTAAAAAGAAAAAAATAATTTTTTAAAAAAAAGTCATCTTCTTTCCAAGACACGATATTCATTAGGAAAAATAAATGTTTGAATAAAAGCAATTGAAAAAAAATCAATCCTAGCAGGTGGGGAAAAAAGGTCTAATTCACACATTTAAGTGAGTTCCATTAACTCTGCTGCCACCTCTAGGATAAGCTACTTTAGGGCTTTAATAGAGGTAATTTATTAAATAGAATTGAATGGCCTGACAAATACTAATTCACTGGGGAAAGAGTAATTTGTTTCTTTCTCAATGCAGGATTAAATCTATCCAGTCATTTATACAACTGTCAGTCACTAGCATGTCCCAAGCACTCCTGTAGTTACCACAGGCTCTGTGACAAACAAAAGAGTTGCTACTTTTCTGCAAGAGTTTGGTTTTCTCTAAATGAAAAAAAAATAATAATAATTTACACATGAATTCCAGTACACATCGCAGATATAATGCCCCACTGACCACAGAACTTTTTGAGATACTATGTGACTGGGTATTCCTGAGGGGTTAAAAAAAAATTACCCTTTCCAGCTCTCAGGAAAATGCATCTTCCCCTCAAATAAGTGGATTGTTATAGAAGGAAATGAACAAGGTTCATTCATTCCCCTGCTTTGTGCCCAGCAGTTTTAGGTGGGTGAATGAACCAGAGATCATCTTGCTCTCAGAAGGAAGTTCTATGCATTGTTCATAGAGGAAAATGTGGCAATAATGACTTGGGGCTACGGAGAAGCAATTAAATACAGGTCAGCTCAAACAGCACACAGATTCATCAAAGCACTGCCAACAATTCTGCCATATGATCAAGTCTTGGTTCTTATGGACATTATCTAGATCATGCAAGAGACAACTGCTCAGACAGTGTGAGCTAAAAAGTGTGAACTTCACTTTGTGGAAAACGAAGAATCACTGAAATGCTTTAATCAGAAATAGACCAACATTTTAATGCAGCACCAGTCTGCCTAAGACATGCAGGTTCTAGGCCTAGCAAAGAAGTCCCATGGCTTGGTTAGTGTCCTACCACCCCCAGGTTCCCACCAATGTTACAATTTAGAAGAGGAGCTTTATACATATTTGTGGTTTGGGTGTTTTGATCCCATCTGTTGATGCTGGTTTACCAAGAAGATCTTGAGGCTGTATTTTAACACATGCCCTCATCTACTCTCTGCTCCTCTGTCCTCTTCCCAGGCAATGCTAACCCTTAGGGAGCCTACACTTCTATTTATCTCCAGGTTGAAACATCTCCATCACTGCAAAAACCAACTTCCTCATTGAAATTGTTTGTCCAATTATTTAGAAACAGATTGAAGACTGAAATTCCTCCTCTGAAGTATTTCCTCTTCATCTGCCTCTTCTCCCCACCTTAGTGTGACTGGCCCCTGACTTGGGAAGGAGGACTTGTCTAAGGGATCCTGTGGGCAGATGGTGGTATGGGCTCAGCAGCAACAGCCTGTCCACCGGCTGAACATCCCTTCCTCAAATGCTCCTGCCTGTCAGGACCTGGAGCCCTGACCCAGGGATGCAAGGTCTACCATCCCTCTGCCCTGGAACTGCACATAGGTCAGGGTAAAGAGCAGAGTCTCATACCCTCGACTCTCAGAACTGGATGGCAGAAATCATTCTAGTGTCAGAACATCTGCTTAACCCTAAATTTATAATGCAAATCATCTGGAATGAAGTAAAAAAATAAAAACACATAGGGGTAGGGGAAAAAGAGAGAAAGAAAAAGCAAGCCAACACAGGGCACATTGAGAGGCAGCAAAAACTCTTCAAGACTCAAATTAGAAAGATGTTAGTGACTCTGGGCCATCAAAGAGAAATCATAGTTTTTGAAATTAAAGTATAAGGGAGGGGCCCTACTTCTCTAGTCCTCTAAAGTTCCCATACAGAGGAGGGGTCCATATTGAGGTAAGCTCTGTCTTCCATCTACTACCTCCTTCCTGCAGGGGGAGTTGTTCAAAGAAAATATTTCCATCTCTGATCTAAGTGCCTGTTTCCTCAAATAATTCAGATCTCAACAATAATTACAGCACTACCAGTGTCCAAGCCTTTGCAAAACAATATAGTCTCCACTTTGGAAATGTTGGAAAAACAGACAATTCTTGTAAAGCTTAAAATTAAAAAAAATATATAAACTAATGCATTTTTTTCAAAGAAGGACATAGAAGTAACTCCTGTGTTTGTTTATACCATGTTGAAAATTTTCCTGACATACATATAATAGAGTATAAGAAAAAAGCCACAGGTATTTTTCTTGCCAGGAGATGGCGCTATCATCTAGTAGATGAAGTTTCAGAGAGGAAATAAAATCTAAATATTTTATATCCAAAAACCAGATAATGGGATAAGTAAATTATTAGAAGGCAAAAATGAGGATCCAACTGATTTTTTTCCCTCTATTATTGGTAACACAGTAAGCCCTTGCCAATCAGAGTGGCTTTCTGGGCAGCAGGGGTTAGCAGCACCTGGCAGCTGGTTAGAAATGAGAGTCTACCCAGGAGATTCAGAGCCATCCCTGACTTACTGAGGCAGCATCTGCAACAGTAGCAGGATCTCCAAGCAAACTGCATATTAAATGTAATCACGCTGCTCTGTTCAAAAGCCAAAAGATTTCACAAACCTAAAATTCTTTAAAAACAGCAAAAACCTAGTTACCTTTGCACAAATCCAAAATCCTCATCCAAGTTTTCCATAGGTTCATTCTAATCTTTATCTAATCCCATTTCCAATAACTTAATATGCACTCCACTCACCACATTGTCCTTGAAGTGAATAATTTCCATCATGACATCTGATCTTCTATTCATATTGTTTATTATACAATTATTAGTCTGCCACGTACTGTGTGCTAGAAATAAAAGATTACCTATCACCCTGAAGTCATATCTTGCCTTTAAAATTTCACAGCACTTTCAGTCAGAGCCATTCAATTCAGAATAAACAGTGAAAGTTATTTGAATTATTTTGTTTTTCTATTTTGTGTCATTAAAAAACACAAATCCTTAAAAAATCACTTAACCCTATCTTCTTGCTTTCAATTTTTTTGTTTTGTTTTCTGTTTAATGAAACAGGGAATGACACTAGTCTCTGAAGACCCTGTCATCAACAATTTACACAAAGACTAGAACAGGAACAAGCTGTTTCTTAACTTGTCAGATCTATGAAGACAGGCACAACTCACAAGCTTCTGTGGGTCTAGGAGAAAAGTTTGATTATAATGATTTAGTAAATGTGTTTTTATGTGACCTTTCATGATAAAATGGATTTTATATGAACTGTTATGATAAAATAATTTGATACTAATTAGCATGTGGCACTCAGGTGGCCAAAATCATAAAGCCAACTACATCCACTTTGCTGTATTCCATGGTTCTCAACCATATCCCAACCCTTGGTAGGCTATAGGGAGGTGAGCTCAAGAGCAGTCATGGTTCAGGGCAAACTGAACCTCAAAGGGTAAGAAACCCATTCTTAGTTCCTCCTCTATGGACACTTGAATTCACCATCATTTTAATATTAAGATCATCATTCAGCAACTCAAAATCAAAGGATGCTGAAAAAGAATGTTTCCTTGTTTATAGTACATTTATTTCCCCTGATCTCTACGATGCCAAAACACATTCTTAGCATAGCAAGTTATCAAGAATCTTGAGAAAAGAAGAAAAGAGGGATAGGGATGTTACCTGTAAATCATAAACTCTCCTAAGAGAAGCCTTAACATAGTTAATGTGTCTTTAGTAACAATGACGTCCTTTGGACTACGGGGTTAATCCTAACTATAGGACTCCCTTCCTTACATGCAGAGGCAAAAGAGCTTCCAACCTCCAGTTGTTCACTGTGAAACCTCAAAGAATCTTGTCTCCAAATGTAAATTGTTCACATGAAAACACCAGAAATCAAAGTCTATAGAAGCGAAGATAAGAAGCCCCAGAGAGTGGGAAGAGAAATGGATGAACAAAGACCCAGATTTTAGAACAAATTCTATCCTTTAAAGAGCATTGTCACTTTAGGTGTGTCACTAAATATTTGTAAAGCTGTTTCTATATTTTCAAGGTAATCATTACCTACTAAAAGGGTTTGGGCAAGGACAGGATGAAATCCTTGGAAGCCTATATATTCTACAGCTTTGGTGGTGTCTGTTAATAATTGCTCTGACTCATGAGTCATCCATCTCCCTTATCTTGAGGAGAGGGGCAAAAGTAGTTGGGTCTAAGTTACAATGGGAAGAACTAAAGATGGCTTGATAGAGGGATTCCCAAGGAATCCCTTGGGAACTGTGAATCCCTGAAACAGTAACCAAGAGAAATTTGGGAATGATCTTTCTTGAAAACATATAAAGAAAATGTCAGTAGTTTGGAAGACCTCTGCCTTGGTCCAGTTGGAAGTAGAGGAATAAATCACAGAACCTCCAGGCTTTGCCCAGCCCAATGAAGCCAACAATAACCTTGTCGTGTGAAACTAGCTGTAGGCCAATGCTTGGGTTCCTGGTGGTGCTATTTTAATTAATACTGGGAATTATGTTTTCAAGAAATCATCTAAAGCTCTAAGTCAAACTCATGACAAATGACTCACCTGGTTTCCTCCACTCTTGGGGTTCACAAACACCAGCAAGGGTTTCATGAGAGGAGAAGAGATGGGTTTTATCACAAAAGGACGACCTTTGTTTTCCTGCTGAAAGAAGCAAGCAACACAGTTAGTACAGAAATCTACGCCTTGAAAGCAACCGCAAAGCAAAGAAAGTGGGAGCCCAACGTGGGCACTCCCTCCTACCCCTCCACCCACCAAAAAATCCTTTATCTTCTTTTGCAAGGATGACTCTTCATAGGACCCTCCACACATAAGTTGGAAGTCTCTTAAACTATAATTTGCTTCAGATAATTAAGCCTTGCTTTTGAGTTTACTCTGTGTACTCTAGGAATTCTAGAAATGTGGACTCTTATCATCTTCTTCTTTTTCATCATCATCATCATCAGAATCTTTGGGACGAGGTTTCCGTGCATATGCTCTGACTCTGAAGTGACAGTTGAGATGTCTGTGTGTGTGTGTGTGCCTGTGTGTGTGTGTGTGTGCCTATTTATTTATTTGGAACAGAAAGCATTCTGGTGAGATTAGAATATAAAGAAGGAGAAAGAGAGGTAGGAGCTGTGTCAGAAACCAAGCTTGGGCCAGGGCATCCGCACAGAGCAGGCTATGGAAAGGAAGCTGTATTTCCTTGAAAGCAAACTCTCCAACACTTACTTCAGTTCCTCTTTTACTGGCTTTCCTTTTAAAGCTTGTTCTCTTCTTCTTCCGATTGGAAGCCTTCAGGGAGTTCTGTAGGGAAAGAAAGAGCTGCCTGAGCCCAGAGGCAGGCAGCCCCGGGGCTTCCATGCAGAACCATGTAGAGAGTGATGGCAGCACATGCTGTGGACTGCATGCTTCTCATGCTTTGACACTTCCAAGCCACTGCTCATGGGTAAGCCACAGACAGAAACCAGTCGAGTACTTCAGAGTGAGCAACTGACTCCCCAGCACACGGAGGGCAGGGAGGGAGAGCCCCAGGGGCTCTCGTGGACTCACATAACAACACATGTTATACCTGCCAACCCTCCCAGTAAAAATGGAAGAATCCCAAATTCTCTGAGGGGCTCCAGTCTCCCGCCCAACCAGGTCCGTCTCCCGCCCAACCAAGTTCAAGTTCATCTCCTGGTATGGAGATCACCTATGTGGAAATGTAAAAAAGGAGGCCATTTTTCATGTTTTTCTTTTCTTTTGTTTCTTTTTTCTTTCCTGTTAACTTTTTTAATGGTCTTTTAATAATAATTGTCATAAAATGACTCTTGACCCCAACAGAACTTCATGATCATACCAACTACTGTATTAGCACTGATGTCTAATATTTTAAATGCTGAGTGAGGTAAGAGTCACCTTAAGTTACTTAAAACAGTAGGAGGGCAGTAATTGCCCTCTCTTTCTCTGTCTAAAGGCCATTGGTTTAGAAGGTCTTCCTGCTTCTATAGTAGCCTTTATTTTATTCTCTCATGGAAGTGTCTTGGACTAACTGAAATACAGTGACCTTTGAATTTGCTTTCCTTTCTAGGGATTTTATAGACCACAACTTGATGATTATTTCAACTGACCATTAACTCTTAATATTTGATTTAGACGCTTAGAGAAGAACCTGTTAGAGAACAGACACAACTTACTGGTTGGAGACAAGGCAAAATCAGATTTAATAAGCAGAGTCAATAATTAATTAGACTGCATCTTCACAAGGGTAAGATATTACTGACCATATAATAGATGTCTGACCAAGTGTTGAAGGCCTGAAATGCAGAATTCTTAACTTAGAAGTTCATATAAGTATACATACTTGCCATTGTTTGAGCAGTTAAAAATTTTTAAAACAGCTTGAAGAAATTTAGCTATCTAATTATCTACTTTTTAGAGTATTTTCCCATAGAGCATTCAAAATAAACTTTAGTCTAGATTACATATATTAATGCATCAAAAATTAACAAGATCCAAACTACTTTGCTTTTATTTCACTTTGACTTGAATATACAAAAAAAAAAAAAAAGTTCATCTATCACCTGTGTTTACCAAGGATGAAAGAAACTTTTAAGAATTACCACTTGTCTCAAGGTTTTCTTTCCCCATCAGTTTAGAATAAAATGAAAAAGACCCTGGAGCTTATGGGTGATTACTCATACTTACTGTTGACTATATCTCCCCTAAAAATAGATCTCCAGGTTTCTAAACCCTGGTTCAATGGGTCTTTTATCATGTCCTTGTCTCTTTTGCATTATGAAAGTATGTGATATATTTCAATAAATTTTGGTTTGTATAAAAGGGTACAAAAAGGATCTAAAGTCTTTAAAAGTTTAATCAGCCACATGATCCAAGAAAAATGTTGGAAACTACTAGGCCGGCAGAAGAAGTGTCTATTTGGTGTCAATTAATGATGCTCTCAAAGATTCTCAACCATGTTTACATATAAGTCTCACCTAAAAAGCTTTGTAAAAACTATTCATACCTGGGCCACATCAAATGTTCTTAATAAATCTGTTTGGGATGAAGCCCAACCAAGGATATTTTTTAAAAGCTCCCCAGGCAATTCTACCATGTAGCCAGGGCTGAGAACTGCTTTTTGAAGCAGAAAAGAGGAACATGAGGAGTATATAGAAGGGTACAGCAGATCAACAGGGGGAAGCTTGAGTCTGATAGACTTGGTAGGGTCCCCAAATTCCTCATTACAACCTTGTGACCTTGGCCAAGTCAATTGAACTTTTTGAAACATCAGTCCCTTAATTTTAATATGAAGAGGTAATAATACCTACCTCAAAGGACAGGTGTGAGTTTAAATGAGAAAAGAAATGTGAAGCAGTTAGCCCAGTATCCACTGCCTCGTCCCCAGCTGTACAGCCCAGCACCCAGCACAAGGTTGGCAGGATGTCTGCACTCCATCTTTGTTGGAACAGGGTGCACACGTTATCATACCTCACAGCACTTACTAACCCTCCGCAGAGTTTGGAAGTGAACCCTAGGAACTTAACGCGTGCCTCCTAACTTAGCACTTCTAGCCATTCACTGTCAAGAGCAGCTGCAGGATGCCACGTGCTTGCAAGGACACGCTGTGGACCTTGATTTTTGACTCTAAGAGATAGGTCTATCAGATCAGGCCAAGATCTTACAACAAGTTTCTTAAACTTGTCTGATCATAAAATCACAGCATTTCAGATGATTTTGAGGATCAAGCACACAAGGGGAACACGGAATTGGAAAAACACATCGAAATAAGGGTAGATATCTGAGAATAGTGCAGGTGAGGAACTCAACTCCCATAGGGAACAGACACACAAAACAGCCTTGGTAACACAGAGGTAGCAAATGCAAGTTCTTCTTAGCCTCACCCGGACGAAGGCATCTGAGGCCTTCCTCACTTCACAGACCAAGAAGAGGGTGAAGCCCAAGCACGGTGTTGTACAGTACCTGCGAGCGTCTGCGTGATTTCTGAGACCTTACAGCCCTACGGTGGTCAGACAGCAACAGTGAGAGTGTGCAGTTTCTCAGCACGCCTCAACGTTCCCGAAGGCTCCCTTCTGTGCACATGGAAATATATACTTCTGTCTGAACATACGACCTCATTTGGAAGGCAGCATAATTCAGTGAGGAACAGAGGAGGCAGACTGAGGAGGTGTTTGGGCCACAAGAAGGTAAGTCACCTACCCTCACGAACCTGCAGCCTGGCCTATCCTCCTGTGTCAGACTGTTAGAGAATCTAACACAACAATCTGCTTTTCAAGAAGGTCAAAAGGATACCAAGAAGGTATTGTGCATATTTGTTGAAGATAGAGTTAAGAATTCTTTAATTCTTGGCCTGTCATCCAGAACGTCCAGGGCAGCTAACTTAGGGACACAAACGATTCCTTTTGCAAGATTAATACTATCCAAACAGGGTTTTGTTGTTGCTGCTGTTTTGAGGGGTTTTGTGGGTTTGTTTGTTTTTGTTTTTGTTTTGTAATTCTTCTGATCCCAACAGTAGTTGCCCCTGTACATTCTGTGCCTGCTCTTTTGTGAAAGACCTAAAGAAAAATAAAGGCGTTTTGTTTTTTTGGACCCGATATCAGGGTAATCTTACCTTGCCACAGAAGTAATCCTATCAACAAGACCCTTAACATAGTTATGACTCCTTCTTGGGCTGTTAAGAAATTCTTTGGTATGAATCACTCAACTGTGAAAGAAACTTTAGGTCTTATTACTCTTAAGGGATTTTTCCAGGTTATGGGGAATAATCACAGGTCTTAAAAAAAAAAAAAATATGCCAATTCATCATCCTAAAGGAAGTCATCCCCCCAAAATACTGAACCAAACTCTGATAGGCAACAGGAATGAGAGGCAGGGACTGAGTTTCTCATTGCCTGCTCCAGCTAGGTCACGGTGATTCTGAGGATGGGCAAGCAGAAGAATAAAGAAAACCCACATCAAAAGTTAAGGACACAGGAGAGGGAGGAGGGTAAGGAGTGTGGAAGTGCTGGGGACTGAAATGGAGCAAATAATATTCTATAACATGTTTGAATATGTCAAAATGAACCCCACGACTACGTGTAACTATAATGCACTAATGAAGACACTTTTTAAAAAATTAAGGACATGGTCTCAAAAGCTGCAAATAGTCATATACCTGGTTAAATCACAAGTACCAGCTGACCTTTAGAATTCACCAAAGGAAATAACTTGGGCAATTTTAAGGGATACTGTTGGTCATTGCATAAAATTAGCTATTACATTTCATAGGTCCCCAGCATTTAAAGAACATTTTCCAATTATAAGGGATTAAAAAAACTAAAAGGACTAATATAAAAAAAAAGCTCATTCAGGGCCATGAAGAAATGAATACAGCATTATTTATAAGTGGAACATTAAAAACAATATAACTACCTATCAATAGGGAGATTAACAAACTGTAATACAACCATTGTATGGGATGTGGACAGCAGTTTAAAATATGACTTGGGTCTCTAGGTCTTCATATAGACCTGTCCCCAAGGGTCATGTTATTACTAGGCTGGAGCAAGTTCTAAAGCTATGAAGAGTAGCATGAGGTCTCATATTAAAAACATGTACCCCAGTGCTCACAATGTCTCTATATCTTTTCCATGGGTATGTTTTTATGCATGTAAATTAGTACTAATAATTCCATATGAATTTTTAAAACATTTCTTTCAGTTGTAGATGGACACAATACCTTTATTTTATTTATTTATTTTTATGTGGTGCTGAGGATCAGCACCAGTGCCTCACACAGGCTAGGCAAACACTCTACCACTGAGCTACAACCTCAGCCCCCATATGGATTTTTGATGGGGGAGATGGGGGAGAGAGACCTATAATTTAAAATGTTGGTAAAAGAAGACTGTTTTTTTTAATCCAAAAAGTTTACTTTTTTTACAGGAAAAACATTTATGCATTACTCATTAAGAACTACACAATAAATCAAAAGATACAGTACTATCATTCTTCAAAGAAACCACAGTGCTCCTATTCAGGCCTACACAGTCCCAACGGACTCAATTCAGGAGAGAGGACGAAGCATCATTTTATATTCTTTGCACAAAACCATAGAAACCCTTTGAGATTACTGGGAGGGTTACAAAACAGAAACAATTTTGGAAAAGCCAGTGGTTCAAAAGCAAAATTTTTTTTTTTTGAAGGATGTCTTGTCTCATGATGCGAAACTTCTGCAAAAACCTTTCCCGCCCTCATATTCTACAGGTGAGTCCTGTAAGACATTCATGTGATGTGTGTCTTACTCCTCCTCTACAAGCACTTGC